TCACTATGCAGAGGGAGGCAATGGCCAATCACCTCTGTCCCTCTCTTTGCCTTGAAACCCCTACAGGGTCTTCACCGTAAGTCAGCTGCGACTTGACATCACCTTCCATCACCGGAAGGATGGCTCCAGAGCTCACAAAGTAGAATTTCTGCTCACAAGACTCCACAGCTTAGAGGGAGCATTGGTTGCTACGCAGAGGCAGGCAATGGCAAACCCACCTGTGCATGTCTCTTGCCTCTACCTGGATGGCCCAAGCTGGCCCAGTCTCCTCGGATCTCAAAAGTTAAGTAGGGTCAGCCCTGGTCAGTACTTGGATGAGAGACCACCGAGAAAGTCCAGGGTTGCTACGCAGAGGCAAATGATGGCAGACCACCTCTGTTTGTCTCTGCCCTGACCTGGATAGCCCAGGCTAACCTGATCTTGTCAGATCTCAGAAGCTAAGCAGGGTCGGCCCTGGTTAGTTCCTGGATGGGAGAGACCACCGAGGAAGCCCGGGGTCGCTACGCAGAGGGAGGCAATGGCCAATCGCCTCTGTCCCTCTCTTGCCTTGAGACCCCTACAGGGTCTTCACTGTAAGTCAGCTGCGACTTGACGTCACCTTCCATCACGGCTGTGCCTTCACTGCTTCAGGTGACTTAATCACCTTGTGATGCTCACAGACTCAACAGAGAACGGTGTCACCAATTCAAAACCTTTCAACAAAATCCGTAGGCGGGGTGAAACAATGCTTCCCAGTGGAGCGGCACAGCTGCAGGAGCCGCCGTGGCTACGGCCGCGGTCCACCCTGGAAGGTGACCAGCAGGGGTCATTTCGTAGAAAAAGAGGTGCAGGAGCTCATTAGCATAACTTATTTGCATAGGCCACACCCCCTGACATCACCGGAAGTGTGTCAGAAGGCGACACCCACCGCTCAGGCTCCACTGGACTGTTTTGGATTGCTAGCTATTGGGGGGGGGGGAACGTGCAGATCTGTCCTCGCAGAGGAGGGAGAGCTTGTACCTGAATAAAACTTGGTCTTAAAGCTGCCACTGGACTGTTTTGGGCCGGGGGGCCGGGGGGGGCTCTGCAACTTACCTGGCTGCTTCTTGCTCTGACTGAGGGCTGCTGGGAGCAGGGGGTGGGGCTTGTTATATGTGCCCGCCCCCTGGGCTCTTTACTGCCGGAGCTCCGCTCCTGTGCACTCCTGCAGGAAATGACCCCTGGTGACCAGCAAGCGAGACCTCTTCCCTCCCTTTCAGTTTCTGGGGTAGGAGCAAGGAAAACAGCAGTGTTCCCTCTAAGCGGAGCTAATGTGAGCCAGCTCACAGTTTTTTAGCCTCCGGCTCACACGTTTTTGTCTTAGCTCAGGAAAGATGGCTCCAGAGCAAACTAATCTATGCAGCGGCCGAATCGCTCTCTCTCAGCCCCACCAACCTGACAGGGTGTCTGTTGTGGGGAGGGGAAGGGAAAGGACTTTGTAAGCTGCTCTGAGACTCCTTCAGGTAGTGAAGGGCGGGGTACAAATCCAATCTCTTCTTCTTCTCGCTCACAACTTTCATGCCAAAAGCTCACAAAGTAGGATTCTTGCTCACAAGTCTCGACAGCTTAGCGGGAGGGTTGGAAAACAGCTGTGTGTCTTAACTGCACACTGCCAATGGGGAGGTTTGCCAACCGGCAGACAACAATAAAAACGGCGTGTTCACGCTAATGGCTTCGTGCGAAGCGTACATCGTGACAACTTCTTGGCCTCCGTTTGCAACTGATAAATGTGGCCGGGGAGGGGGAAGCAGCGCTCGAGCGACGGTCACAAATCGAGTTCGCCGCAATGGAAGAAAACCTGCACGGAACAGGAGCCGGGACGGGAAGAGAGGCCTTCGGCGTAAGATGAGAAACCAACATTTTTAACTCTTAATTATAACCCTGCTCTGTGTGGTGGTTTCATTACCGTAATCCAGGCAGACAGGTGTTTCTGTTTCAGGGCACAGGTGTTCGCTGGAAAATATAATCCCCGGGAGAGGGGGACGAAGAGCTCGTGTTTCACAATGCAGAAGGTCCCAGGTTCAAGCCTTTTTTCCACGGCATCTCATGGAGTATTTGTTGGGGAACACCTGTCCTTAAGACCCAGAATGGTTGCGGCCAGTTACAGAGCAGACACTGGACCGATGCTCTGATCCAAAAGAGGGAAGTTTATGGTGTATTACTGATACATTATTGACATATATAACAGAGGAGGGCCTGGGGCTCAACGGTACAGCATCTGCTCGGCATGCGGAAGGTCCCAAGTTCAATCCCCGGCATCTCCAGTTTCAAAGGACCAGGCAGGAGGTGATGTTAAGGACGTCTGCCTGAGACCCTGGAAAGCTGCTGCCAGCCTGAGTAGACAATACTGACCTTGATGGACCGATGGTCTGATTCACTTTAAGGCAGCTTCCTGGTGTTCTTTTTTTTAAAGGGGGCATGGCTGAATAGTACAGAATCTGCTCGGCATGTAGAAGGTCCCAGGTTCAATCCCTGGCACCTCCAGTTGAAAGGACCAGGGCAGCAGGTGATGGGAAAAACCCCAGCCTGAGACCCTGGAGAGCCACTGCCCGTCTGAGAAGAGAATGCTGATTAGGAGGGGCCATGGCTCAGTGGCAGAGCCTCTGCTTGGCATGTGGGAGGTCCGAGGTTCAATCCCCGGCATCTCCTGTTAAAAAGGACCAGGCAGGAGGTGATGCAAAAGACCTCAGCCTGAGACCCTGGAGAGCTGCTGCCAGTCTGAGTAGACAATGCTGATCTTGATGGACAATTGCCCTGATTAAATATAAGGCAGCACCATGTGTTCATGTATAATATGGGAGGGGCCATGGCTCAATTGGTAGAGCATCTGCTCGGCATGCAGGAGGTCCCAGGTTCAATCCCCGGCATCTCCAGTTGAAAGGACCAGGCAGTAGGGGATGGGAAAGACCCCAGCCTGAGACCCTGGAGAGTTGCTGCCAGTCTGAATATAGACAGTGCTGATTAGGAGGGACCACGGCTCTGTGGCAGAGCCTCTGCTTGGCATGCAGAAGGCCCCAGGTTCAATCCCTTCCACTTAAAAGGATCAGGCAGTAGGTGGTGTGAAAGACCCCAGCCTGAGACCCTGGAGAGCTGCTGCCGGTCTGAGTAGACAATGCTGACCTTCAGGGCTTTTTTTGTAGAAAAAGCCCAGCAGGAACTCATTAGCATAACAGGCCACACCCAACAGCAGGAGCTCATTAGCATATTAGGCACAGCCCTGGCAGCACCGCTCATTAGCATATTAGGCCACACCCCCATGTCACCAGAAGTGTGCTCATCCAGCCACACCCACCTTTTGCTTCTTATTCTGTTGACCTTGTTTGTTGTCAAAACCCAGGGCCTTTTTTTGTAGCAGGAATTCCTTTGCATGTTAGGCCACACACCCCTAATTGTAGCCAATCCTAATGAGTGTCTGCTGTTAGGTGTGGCCTATTATGCTAATGAGTTCCTGCTGGGCGTGGCCAACTCGGGAGCCAGCCGGAACTCCGTTCCTGCGCGTTCCTGCCCAAAAATAGCCCTGCTGACCTTGATGGACCAAGGGGGTCCGATTCAGGATAAGGCAGCTTCCTGTGTTCAGCTTGTGCGTTCAAGGCCACGTCTCACCACCGCAACACAACGACAATAAAGCCATCAGAAACAAACACAACGACGGGCCGAGGCAAGTTCCAAGCATCGATTGATTTCAGAATACAAAATAAAAACTGCGGTTTCCTTCACGCCAGCTAAAAACAATTTACAAAGACGTCCGTGCCTTGACAAAACCGTCCGTGCCTCCCTTCTTTCCCACCGTTTCCCCTACAGGAGCCCCTTGGGTGTGCGTTTCCTCTCCCCCCCCCCAATTAAATCCCCCCTCTCCTCATTAGTCATGTTAACCCATTTAAGCAGCATTTAGAAAAGCAATCTGCAAGCCTCATCTTCAGTTGTTGTTTTTTTCTGGAGCGGGGGGTGATGCTTCATTCCCCTTGTAGGATCAGGAGGATGTGGTTCTAGAAAGACCAAGCCTGAGAAGTGAAGTTGCCATCCTCCAGGTGGCAACTGGAGATCTCCCGAGATGACAACTAATCTCCAGGCAACCGAGATCAGTTACCCTGGAGAAAATGGCTGCTTTGGAGGGTGGACTTTATGGCATGATGCCCTGCTGATGCCCCTCCCCTCCCCAAACCCCGCCCTCTCCTGGCTCCACCCACAAAGTCTCCAGGTGTTTTCCACCCCAGAGTTGGCC